GGTTTGGCCCCCAACCCCCCTGGTCCGCAGAGTTCTCCTTCTCCTGCTGAGAGCCCCGATGTCGATGCGATGAACCCTGATTTGACTCAGCCTGCTGTAGATGTCCAGCCTCCTGACAACTCTCCTCTTGATGTCTCAATGAATAGCGTCCCCCTTGTCCCCCCTGTCCCCCCTGATGGTCCTGCGCAAGCCTCACCTTCTCCTGATACCTCTCTGGTACCTGGGAAGTCATCCAAGAGTGTTCAGTCTTCACGGCGTAAACCTGCCCCCTTGCCGGCGGCCTTGGAAGCGCTGGGTCGCAAACCAACCAGACCATCTTTACCCGGTTCCGGGAGAAAATCTACTTCAGTGGACCCCCCTCCTCCTCCTCCCCCGCATGATCGCTCTGAACCCGAAGATATGGACACTCTTGCTTACACCTCCTTGAAGCGGAAGCAGGAGCTGAAGGCGAAGAAGGCTGGCCCAAAGAAGGGTAAACATTAATCTTGGAAATGGAACATTGTTAATAGTTATTTAAGTCTTAATTTTCAACGTAACGTCTATTAATATACGCGGCTTTAATGCTCGTAAGGAGAGTTTAATTTTTCGTCTCCTTTTCGATCTTTGTTTTCTTCAGGAAACTTTGCTTTCTGAGGAAAAATCTATTAATGGCGTTATTTCCCGTTGGCCAGGCCAGAGTTTTTGGTCTCCGGCTGTCGGGAAACAAGGCGGTGTTGGAATTTTGATTCATAATAGTTTTGACGGCAAAATTTTATCTTGGTTAAAAGACTCATCAGGGCGTGTTTTAAGTGTGCTTATTGAAACTTCGCAGTTACGCATTAATTTAATTAATATTTATGCTCCGACTAATTTAACCGAGCGTAAGGCCTTTTTTGCGAATTTGCACGAATTTTTTATCCCTGCGGACGGTTTGATCTTGGGTGGTGATTTCAACTGTTATGAAAGTGATCTGGATAAATTCGGCGGGAATATCTCTACCGCGAGCTACCTTTCTGATTTTCGGTCGTCCTTTAAACTTGTTGATATTTGGCGTAAACATCATCGCAAACAACGTGAAATGTCATGGTTTAATGCCGATTTCACAATAGGCGGCCGCTTAGACAAATTTCTTTTGTCCTCCAGATTGGTTGATTTCGCCGAAAAATGCGATATTACACCTTGTTGTCTCTCGGATCATGACTATGTCAACCTCTCTTTTGATTGCGCCGATTCTGCCCCTCGTGGGCCAGGTCTTTGGAAATTCAATAATTCTCTGCTTTCTGATGAAATCTTTTGTCAGTATTTGTCTGAGCGTATTTCCGATTTATCCTCGTGTCTGTCAGCTTTCGGTTCTGTTAAATCCTGGTGGGACTTTTTTAAAGTCTCTCTCAAAGCCGACATCCGTTTGTTTGCAAAATCCAAGCGTAGAGAGCTCAGTCGAGAGCGGGTTGTTTTGACTTATCGTTTAGTTGGTCTGAAACATAGGCTCGCTCAAGGTGAGATTTCTGTTTCCTCAGAGATTCTAGCTATTGAGTCACATCTTGCTGCCCTGGTTAATCGCTCTCTTGAGGGCGCCAAGACCAGAAGCCGGGCGCAATGGCTTGAGGAAGGCGAAAAGCCGACGCGCTTTTTCTTTAAATTAGAAAGAGAGCGTTTGGAAAAAAATGATGTTAAGTCAATCTTAGACCCGAGCGGGACTGAAGTATTTACGCGTGAGGCAATTGAACAGGCGCATTTTGATTTTTACACTAATCTCTTTTCCGCTGAGCCAATTGATCCCGAATGCAAAGAGACTTTGCTGAATGGGATTAATAGCTTCCTTTCTGATTCTGATCGTCATGTGTGTGAGGGTGCAGTCACCCTCGCTGAGCTTACTGCCTCCCTTAAGACCATGAATTTTAACAAAGCACCTGGCTCCGACGGCTTCTCGGTTGAATTTTATCTAAAATTTTGGGATCTTCTTGGTCCCCTTCTTTTGAAGGTTATCAATCAATGCTTTGCTGATGGAGAATTGGCGGAATCCATGAAACTTAGTATAACGCGGTTAATTTTTAAGAAACGCGGTAATATTAAAGATTTGAAGAATTGGCGCCCGATTTCTTTGTTGAATGTCGATTATAAGATCTGTTCAAAGGCGATCACTTTACGTCTGGCCAAAGTTTTGGATTCTATCATCGACCCAGATCAAACCTGTTCAGTCCCTGGGCGCACAATTTCTAATAACTTGGTTTTGTTGCGCGATACCTTTGAGTATATTACTCAAACGGATGAGACTGGAATTTTAGTTAGCCTCGACCAAGAAAAGGCCTTCGATCGGGTCAATAGGACGTTCTTAATGGAATTGCTTGATCGCTTCGGCTTCGGCTCTGATTTCTGTAGATGGATTAGTACTTTTTACTTAGGCGCCAATATGCGTATAATCTTAAATGGCTGGCTCTCTAGGCCTATTATGTTGATGCGCGGGGTGAGACAGGGTGACTCTCTCTCCCCCCTTCTCTACATCTTGTGCGTAGAGGCTCTCGCGTGCCAAATAAGACTTTGTAGTGGCATCAGAGGCTTTCTCCTCCCAGGCGCAAAGGGTAGACAATTTAAAGTCCGGCAATATGCCGATGACACTACCTCCCTTGTTAAGGATTATAACTCGCTTGTTCGCCTCTTCGATATAATCTCGATCTACGAGAAGGGCTCTGGTGCCAAACTGAATAAGTCCAAGACGGAAGCTATGTGGCTTGGTGCGTGGCGCGATCGCCCTGACGCGCCCCTCGGCCTTACCTGGGTGCGAAAAATGAAAATTTTGGGCGTCATCTTCGGCACTGTCCCTGTTGAACAAGACAATTGGCAACCTAAGATCAATAAGCTAGAGAAATCGATTGGTCTGTGGAAGTCACGCTCCTTGTCGCTTGTAGGGAAAAGCTTAATAGTTAACGTCTTGGGCTTAAGCAAATTTTTCTATCTCGCTAAAGTGTTAAAGCCGCCGAGCTGGGTCTTCTCGCGGGTGAACTCCCTCATATGGCCTTTCATATGGGGTTCAAAAATTGAAACAGTGAGTCGTAACACATGTTACCTTCCAGCCCTCTCCGGGGGCTTAAATGTTACTAATTTAGAGTTAAAGTGCATTGCACTTCGCCTCACTTCCGTTATTTCCACCATTGGCCTGCGTGAAGACTCTAGCTTCTTCTTATGTAAATATTTCATCGGGAGGCCCTTGGCCTCTCTTAAGGCGGAGTGGCGCTTCTTGCGCGATAACCTATCTCCTAGCGCATCTAGACTTACCGGTTTTTATGAGAATTGTCTGAAGCATTTAAGGGAATTCGATAGTCTAGTTAAGAGTAACTCTCCCCTTACTACCAAGGTTTTTTATACTCACCTGTTAAAGCGGACTTCCTCACCTCCCTTGCTTCCTTGTACTTGGTCTATGGTTTTGGGCCCTGGTCTGTGTCTTTCTGACCTTTGGCCCAAGGTACGTGACCCAGTATCAGAGAATTTTAAGAACGATCTTTCCTGGGCCATTACCCTTCGTGCGGTCAAGGTGAGGGACTCTTTAAAACGATGGGGGTACATCGATTCCGATCGCTGTGCCTTCTGCAATAGAAAGGAAACTATCGATCACTGCTTTCTTAATTGTTCCAGAGTTAAGTGTGTATGGGCGCATTTTGTACCTGTCCTCTCCCTTTTAACCCAGACTACCTTCCGTGCGTCAGTGGCCACTGTTTTCTTCTTCCGGTGGTCTTCCAACCACAGGAAGAGGAACGCAGTTGCTCTGTTCTTGATCAAATCGATTCTCTATGCGATCTGGACTTTCCGTAATGCCTCCACCTTTCGTAACCGGTATGACGAGTCAAATGCCATTATCAAATACGCGTCCCAGGATATCATCAGTAGAATCAAACTTGATCACTACCGCCTCCCCGTCGCTGCTTTTTCTGTTTTGTGGGAGGTTCCTGGGTTTTGCCGCATCAACGCAAATTCCGCCCAAATTTTCATCTAGGGGTATAATTATAGTTTATCTCTGCGACTTACTTTACAATCAAGGGCTCTATTGTTGCGGTCTTTGTTTGGTAACTTCCCTCAGGGACTACCCCTAGGGAACTTGTTTTGTGTTAGTAAGATGGTTGCTTACTCCGGATTAGCCTTTTAGTTAGTCTGTGCGCTGTTTGCTCCCTCTGCTTCACGATCAAGGACTCTATCGTTGTGGACTTTGCTTGAGATGTATCCTCAAGGACTACCTTAGGGAATTTGTTTTTGTATCTGTAGGTTAGATAGCTACGATTATTCTTCCTGAGCAGCATTGTAACCTTCGTTTTTATCTGTAAATAAAGTGCATTTTTCTACAAAAACAAAAAAAAATCTGTTCTTATAAGCTTAATATCTGATACGCTGCTCATTGAGCAGCTCATATATTAAACTGATTTTTGG